ATCGATACAGGGCTTTAGAATATCGATACAGTATCGGGAAATGAAATATCGCGATATTTCAGTGTATCGATATTTTCTTACACCCCTAGTGTAGAGGGGTGTAAAAACAGACACTATGAGGTGTCGTTACACAGCAAATTTGAAAACGTAAGTTAAACACTTTAGAGTTAAGATCAACTCTTTTTAGTGTTGCATTAACATTACACAGTAGTTTCAGGATAAGTGTAATGGAGTCGACCTTCACACACCAGGAAGTACCTCTCACTCATGGTGTCGATTTATGGCCAATAACACAAACTAAAACTTGATCAACTGATAAACCTGAACAACTAACTAGGACAACTCATCTTTACACTCATGAACTTCTTTAGTCATAAACATGCAAACACATTATTTCTACAAGATTACCCAGCATCCCTTGCGGTGAAAATACTGATCTGTCTGACATGAGGTGGAAGAGGGCGGAGCATTTTCAGAATACTTTTTTCATCACTGCATGGTGTCATATAACAACACTTTTAAGTGTTGTATGAGACTTAACAGTGGGTGGAGCTTATTTAACACTGTTCAGTGTTGAGACAACACTGGGGAAATCAACACTGTGAATTAACACCAACACTGGAAGTCAGTTTACTCAGCAAGGGTTAAAATAACACTAGGGGGAGGTAAATTGACTCTGAAAAGTTTGACACTGACATTTTAACACTCTGGTTTATTCAATTTTTTTAATAAAATCTACTGGAAACCTCTTTTGGATCTATATATACTTAGATCGAATCTAGCCGATATGAGTAAAATATTCATAAAAAWTTTTTAGAAGTTGGCATGAGTTGTCTAAAATATTACAGGGTGACAGGGCCATTAGTTATTTTTTCCCGATACACCTCTGTCCAAATGTGAAACCTCCCCTCCAAGATCAGTGGAGCCAACTTACCCAGATGAGCAGCTGCGTGATGACAACATTGGCCATGGCGCACGAGAGGTGCAGCGCGGTGCGTCCGTCGCCGTCCCCGTAAGTCTCGTTGACCTCTTCCTTGGTGCCGTGGGCGAGCAGCAGCACCACCATCCTCAGGTCATCCTCTACCACCGCCCGGAGCAGCTGCTGCCCCAGAGGAACGTCCGACTGGGGCAGCCCCAACAGGAAGAGCTTCTGCTCGTACTTGGCTCGGATCCAGCGCTCCTTCTCCTCCCTGCGGGGAAACGACAGAGCGGCTGCGGGTCAGGCGGAGGGAAACACGGCGAACACGCAGTGAGCCACTTTACACCTCGGTTCGAGATTTTCCAAAAAGAATCTAGAGGCCGTAATTTTAAAAAAGGTAGCGTCATACACAAGACRGACTGTGGACACACAAGGGAAACATTACAGTAATTGACCTGTGATGCTGAAGTATAGTGACATTTTTAAATGGTTAGAGCACTGGAAAGTGATTTCATTATCACAGTCTGTCACAAAGGGAAATAATACAGTAAGATAGGCTGGGGAGATCAAAGACTGCCAAAGGCTGTGTGCTCTGGGCAATACTCCAGTTTGGTGTGATTACGGTAGTCAGCATGGCAGTCAGAGCTTGGCCGGCTTTCTAAAGGTTACACATCTTGAACAGGATGTCTGCTGCGGACAATACAGGAAGGCGGGGTACGTATTTTTATCAGCACTGTCGGCTGTCAGTCTGAACTGGTGGATCCCTTCCACAAAAGGGGCAGTGTGTCTCAGAGCCTCCGTCTCCCTTGGGGTGGCTGGGCCCAGAGTCAGATCGATGGGGCTGAATGGCAGCCAGAAAGAGACGGTTGGACGTGGGGGCTCCTTCACTCCAGCCTGCAGCAGAGAATGGAGACAGAGGGAAGGATCCCTCCTCTATCGAAAAGCCGAATTCTATCTATTGCTTTCCATCTTGACACCCCCCACTCCTGTCGTATCACTCTTTTCCCACATACAAACTGTCCAAATCAGAAAAAGGAGGAAAAAAAAATCAATATCAATATGAGAATAACYGAGCATGCCCAGTGTGGTGCTAACCCGGTGACCCTGTCAGTCAGTGTGATAAGGGGAGCAGAAAGAGCCTGTTGTTTGGATCTGTGGGTGAGTGACAGAAAAGAGAAGGTTGGTACGAATCAGTTGAAGCGGTGACGCTGGCTGGAGTGACAAGGCTCTCGTGGGACKCTTTATCAACGGGCCAAGGCTGAGCATCATGTACAACCTGACAGTCCAACTCCATTCAGTTGTATTTCATCATAATAAAAGGTGAAAACAAACGGCTTTATTAGCAAAATTCAGCCTTTTAGACGAGCAAAATGTCACATCAAACCAAGTTTGATGCTTATTTTTAATTATAATAAACACTGAGTGTAAAATCTTTAATAACACAATTACTTGTAGAAGTAACATAAATAAAGAACCTAACTTTTTGGTTCATTAAACTCTAATGAATACTTAAATGTAACCATTCAATAATAAGAACGAGTAAATGTTTAGGTATTATTGGCTGATAAAGATATGCACACCTGTGTCAACTGAACTAACATTGGTATTAAAAGAATCAGACAAAGAAATGTCTAAATACATTATGCAAAAAAAGCACTTAAATTATATTGTATGCACAAGCATGCATTTTAGTAATTTTAGTAGCATGATGCAAGGTTAGAGAATCATCCAAATGTCTTGTGTAGGAGTGTCTGTCAGCTAATTAGCTCACAAACTGCTGGTCAAATTTGAATGAAACTCCCAGAAAGTAATCATCAGATGCATCTACAACTGATTAACTTTTAAAGTCCCAACTGAAGATGGCCATAGGAGTAAAGCAGCCTCAGTAAACTCAAAAATGACTAACTTTATGTTATAGATATTAAGCCAAAGCTTAGAATGGTAGTAGTTGAGTCATCCACAGTAGATAACCTGAGTGTTAATTGATTGTTCAAGATCTTTGTTTAAAGGTGGAGGGCAGTATTATGTATTTTTCAGGCACATAGTTGAATTCTATACCACATTCAAGTAACCATGTTAACTTCAGTGGTTATATCAGTTTTGGAAAATTGCAAMTCATGAAACAGTTTAAGCTTATTTGAAAAATCCTATGTTGGACCTGGAAAATATGTTTTCTGAAGAACCAGAACAAGGATCTCCCAGTCCTCCTCTCATACATAGACGTCAATGTTAAGCGACATTTTTGCAAAGAAACWATAAATATAGATAAATATCAAGCTATGTTTTGCAATGAAATCATGAAAATCCACCACGTGGGAGTGGTGCTCTGTGGGYGGGAGCTTGGCTGGGGACTGAGCTCCAGGGAGAACTTTTGGGTAAATAGGCGGTGCTTTGCACCAGCAAGCATTTCGGCAACTCCACATGGCTACCAAACATGCATGAATGACTCAAAGCAACGCATTAGGTATGTTGTTTAGGGACTATTTGGTTAAAAAGAAGTAGCAACTTTAAAAAGTGTTGTTAAGGCGAACATTTTAAAGCTTTATTTCAAAGTTAGAATAAAAAAATGTAAATGCTCTGCAGCCTGAAAACAGACATTAAACAAAAGCTAGCTTCCTACGATGTGGGTGTAACTGATTCGTAATTCATTTTCCATGAAGATAATTTAGTGACCAGATCCAAACGACTCCCTCTTTTTTATCAGCTACAGTACATATACTCCAGCAGTCAGGTGTCAGGACAACCAACTAACCACAGAAAGCAGCCATTTTCACGCTCATACGTCTGCTGCCAGAATCACTTTACAGCCAACTTTGTGTTTCAGCAACAAGATGGGAAAACTTCTTAACTACAGGAGAAGAGGAGGCACAGGAACAGAAGCAATCCAAAATTGATTAACTGAAAAAGCACCACCAACGGCTCATAAAAGTAACTTAAACCACAACTAAAAGTGGTTTTACAGCTGTGACAATAAGGAAATCGCTACATTTTTGTTAAGTTCTAAAAAGAAAATGCATAAGAGAAAGCCCTTCAGCTCACCAAATCATGAGCGGACCTTTTTTTCAATCTGAAGGAAGGAGGTATTATGTGACCAACAATACATCCCTAATAGCAGGCAATTGTAGTTGTTCAGAGTTTTATGGTGTAAGACCTTCGTCGATCCCTACTCAGTCATTATGTGCGGACAAGCCTGTTAGCAAATCAATTGGCCTTAGAACTAGCAGACTGCTCAGAACAGGAAGGGGCTGTCCAACCCTTCCACCTTTATTTCGGGTGGACTTGTTGAAAACAAGCGTGCTTTAGACAGTGAGGACTTTCTGAAAACGGCAGCTACATGCCCACTGTAGTCCTCGGGGAAATTTGGAGAACTTTTACAAAAATCTAAGCTTGGATGAAAACAAGTCAGAGCGGTTTGTTTTGAGAAGCTTGGCCACGAATGACACGCTGAATCTGTAGAGCCCAGTGAATTGATATGAGCTAAATGAGGCATAAAGTTAGCACCAAGACGTGAAACAAAAAGGCTGAGGAAAGCCATTAAGAAGACGTCAACATCTCAGAAAGGAGCCCCGAGGACACTTTGTTAGCCTTCACTACAAAAATCAGCCCTAAAGACCTGCAGGAAAAAGGCCCCATTCACTGCTGACGCCGAGCTTCAAATTTAAGAAAATCCCTGTGCTTTCTGAAAAGTCAACCCTCCCAAAAAAGTACAGGGCTGGAAAGGCATARGTGGCCAAGCAGAGGTTTAATAAAATCCCAAGCTGCTGCCACTTGAAAGAAAGGGTGTGAAAGGAAGTGAAATGGTAATACCGCCTCTGTCTTTTGTTTGTAATAGAGAAAACTATCCAAAGAGGTCGAGTTTAGACAGTCAGAGGGGAAACTGAGACTCTTGAAAAGGACACTTCCTCACCGCAGGAGGAAGAAAAATAAAAATCAGCAGATTTAGCACGTTAAAGCGCAGGGATAAAGTAGGAGGGGCGGTGGTGAGTGGGAAAGAGAGTGATTTTTAGGGGCACGTGGGGGG